AAAGAATAGTAGTTTAATATTGAATATGTTTTGTGATAATGAGTGAAACTGGTTTACCATGTTTTGGTGCTCTGGATTTGGTTAAATCCAACTTCACCGAGTTATTGCAGGTAGGAATAGAAATCAAATTGATAGTGATATGATCAAAAGCAACATAAAGACTAAATTTGATGCTCATGAGAGATGATACTGATCACCATGTAATATTTGATGATTGTGGGCGGTGATACTCACCATGTAATATTCTTCTCATAGGGTGGGATGTCTCTAATTTGATGGTAACTCGGTTGTTAAAATTTTATGGCCCCGCTACCTGCTTTGATGGTTGTTAAAAATTTTATAGCCTCACAATAGCATTGATAAATTTGTCTTGCTTTTGTTTATAACATTTCCATTTATTCTTTTTGCTTTTATTTTTTTCTGGAGTGAAAATTTGTAACTTTGGGGCATTTTCAGAGATCAAGATTGTTGTTTGTTGAATAATTTCATGATTAATTGCTAACAAGATCATACATAAAGAGCAAAATCTTATTACTTTGCCGAATGGACGATCTGCCTGAAATCAGGAATTCAAATTATATCAGATTGAAGATTCTTGGGTTCCATCCATTACTGCTAAGCTTGCTTAAAAAAATAAAGGATCAAATCCCTATTCACCAAGATAGTAATTTACATGCCTTTTGATTGCAAAAAGACTAAAATTATCATTATTTTTTTTGTGAACTTCGTTCTGTGCATCTAAAGACCATGTTTACAAAAAGTAAATGAGGTGGTTGTTTGTGACGACGACGATGGAGATGCAAAAAGTAATAGGTATCGTGATGAAAAGAGATAACCTTCTAACAATACTCCTAAAAGTAACATACTAGCCTTTTTTACTTCCCAATCTACGACACCATCTGAGCCCTCAAATAATTGTCCAGTTTAGATTGTACTAAAATAAAAATCTAAATGAGTATTTTGTTGGTGGGTTTGGGAATGGAGAATGGATTAATTCCGAGTATTGATGTTTGGTTTGAGGCTTTTAAATAGAAGGAATGGATGATACCCAATTATATAGAAATCTTCAAAATCCACCGAAAGGCAACCACTTCCCTTCACAAAGCATTCTGAAAGAAAAATATCTATAAAATCGAACAAGGAACTCAAGGAGCTAATTGGGTTTGGACCCATAATTTAAAAAGAACAACACCGTAAATGAAGAATGTTAAAACCAACGGAAACCTGGAGATCTATGTTGATTTCCATTAATACATTTCACTATGCAACTCATAAATTTTGGCATAAATATTATTATTAATATCTTTTTCCAAACTGACTATATATCTTCATCTTATCAAAGTCTGGATATTTATCTGTCAATCTATTTAACACGCGGTTATGGACTCATGCACACCATTTTTAGCTATCAAGAATTGGGATATACCTCATTTTAAAAAGGCTACCAATTTTGTCCACGAAAAAAATGGCTCATTTCCAGTTGGGAATTGGACCACTATTTTAACGATACGGAAAGTTAACACCAGTTATAGGTACTCTTTTGCTTCTTTTTCATCGATTTTCGCTAGAGTAGGAAAAAGACAGAGACTATATATTATTTTTTTTATTCTTTAAAAAAAATGTGATTTTATTTTCATCATTAATAAATTCGAAGGAAGATATGTTTGAATTACCTTCCTGATTACCTTGAAATAGGGGGGAAATGAAAGAGAGAGATTGAATTAATGTGCACATACTTCATGTATTCCACAACATTTGTTTTTCTATCAATTTCATCAATGCCAATGAAATATTAAATAATAAGTTTGAAATGTAAACTTATTCTTATTTATTATCATACAACTCATCACCAACCAATACGATTTCATTTCAAGTATTATTTTATTTCTAATGCAAGGGAAATATTGATAAGTATTTTAAAAATTGCCAAACGACGTATATTTTAAAAAAAATTTGAAACCATAAAATGAAATATATTTAAGAATGGAGGGAGTACAATATAGCATTATGTAAACATAATTGCTTGCTTATCTGAAAAGTATTTGAATAATGCTTCTTTCTTTATTATAACATTTTCCTGCTGTTTGGGCGGTTTTAAGCTTTCTGCAAGTACTGCATGCAAATCGCAAAAGGGTTAATAAAATAAATCTATATACTATATTAAGGCAAAAATAAGAAAGAGAAAAGCCAATGTCATATATCAATGCCACATAAGATTTAATCATATGTGGTAAATTTCTAATTTTTTGGTTTAGAAAAATTCCAAATTAAATTACCAAAATTAACTATACCGCAGTCACGCATCATCTGAGATTTGTTCTCAATCTCATCGATAGAATCCCTACAAATCCTCTTTCCTATACCAGACGTGAATTAGAATAATCAGATTTGCAATCCGATTTACAAATCGTACAATAAATTTGCAACTTCTATCGATGAGACTATGGCGGCTCCGTATCCGTTATAGGAAAAATCTTGCGGCTCCGTATCCGGAGGAAAAATCTCGGCGACGATCTCCCGAATATTAAGTTCGGTTTTCATCAACCAAGCCACCACAAAAACATCAGTGCATTCTTTGATTCGACCAGTGTTGTATTTGATGATAAATTTGAGAATTTAGAACTACGAAAGAAGCTGATTCTAGGAAAAGAGTTAGTTTTAACAAGAGTATTTGACGATATGAAATTTGGGAGAAGGAAAAGTGATATCTAAAGTTTCTAGAATTGCGGTGGGCCTGGTGAAGACATGTGAGGAAAAATCGAAAGCTCATTCGGATTAGATGGTATTATCCAAGAACTCTCACAAGAATTGAACTGTATAACTTCTTCATGTGCCTGAAGAAGCAAATAAGGGTGGAGTTCCATAAATGTACAACTTCTCCATGGTGAGAGTTGCAAAACTTACTTTTCTAAAAAATCATTGTAATATATAATTTTCATTCAATTTACTTTCTAACTAATTGTCCACAAAACTTTCTTTAAAAAAAATTTGAACATAGAATTAGCAATAAATAATTTAAGAAGTAACATGCTGAAATAGTGCAGTATTGAATTTTAGTTCATCGAGGATAGGAATTTAAAATTCTCATTTATAGGAATGGGACGTTGAGCCACCTTTAATATCTACCTAAAGTTTCTAATTGTCCATGAACCTTCATATTATTATAACAAAGTTCAACGGATAAAATTACTTTTTCAAATTAAACAATTATTATTTCAAAAAAAATGTGCAAAATTTTAGTAGGACAAAATTATTTTTTATAATGATGAGTTTGAAACCCCGGCCTTATGCTAATGAGCGGATTAACTTGGATACTGAACAATCATCTCTCTCATAAGTTAAACTAAATGTGAGAAAATTGATATAGGATTAAGACCAAAAAAAATTAAATAATGATCGTAAACAACTAAAGAAAATAAAACTATTGCTGAAACAACTCACGACCAAACTTGAAATTATTTTTTTAATAAATCAAACTTTAATCCGAAAATAATGAGCATGATGGCTTTGACATTAGCTAAAATTTCCAAAAAAAAAAAGATATTAATGAAAAAAAATAATTGAATTATATTCTTTAAGGGGTAAAAAGATACTCCCACCTCACATTTCAAATAAAATATTTTTGATAACGGGTAAGTTAAAATAAAAATAAATTATTAGATAGATAATGAGAAAAAACTAAATCAAAGGAACAAATGGGTTAACAAAAATAAAATAAAGTGAGAATGCATTGTATGTTAATAAGAAAAAAAATAAAAAAAAAAAGCACTGAACGCGAGAGTCAATTCAAGACAAGGAATAAAGATTTTGATACGTGATGAAGATGATGATGTCAATTCTAAGACTTCGAATGTAGTCTACAAAAAAGTATTGCACGATATATAATCATTCAATTCAAAGTTTATTTTTTTTCGTTTTTTTAATATTTTCTTTTTTAGATTTCATAACAGTTCTCTTTGTGTTAAATAAATTTTCACCGTATTCATTTTGTAAAGTGTTATTAATGTTTGTGTTTTATGTTTTCTAATGAAATCATTATACATTTAATAAAAATAAAAAAAAAACTATAAAAATATCAATATTTTTTGTTTTTTGTATTGTAATGTCTTTATGTGTATATCCCCCCGTCCATCGGACGGGTCTAACACCTTGTACTAGTAACTTAGACACACCCTCATGTAATAGTAGTCTGAGATGTTTGCAAAAAATGTGCAAAACCAATATACACAAATCAAGTCGAATTAGAACCTGAAAATGTTTGTGAACTGTTCCATAATTCCAACATCCATATGGTTCCGACCAAATCCAACACGGAGAATCCAAAACCCTTTGTAGACCAAGTAAATTTTGGTGAAAGGTCATATCATTACAGAATTCCTCGCCCGAATTAGAACCAGAACTATAAATTACTCCATTTGAGTAATACGTGGGAAATATATATATTATATATATATATAGTATAGTATGTGAAATATTCATCTGAAGCAGAATAGATCTTCTCGGGGATTTTAATCTATATTTTATTTTTTAAAGAATTAGTATATATCGATCGAGTATCTCTTATAAAATAACTAGGCAGAATCGCATATCAGATTTAAATGATAATAATTGGACTAGAAAAAAAAGTTGGTCCAGGAAAAAGACAAGAGAAGGTACACAACATCACTATAAGAATGTTTTTATTATTTATTAATTGTTATTGTTATAGATAAATTAATTGAAACGCCAGCAGCAATAATATTAGAACCAAATCTTATGAATCTAATAATTTATCCACGACATGTGTACATGTGAGAAGCTATCATTTCCCATCATCCAGGTCAAATTCGTTGAGTTATTAGAGAAATTTTAGCATGGAGATTAATAGCGTGAAGTACAAGTCAAAGAAATGTACCCATTCGTCTTAATATAATGTCCCCAACGAAAGAAGAAAACAGAAAGAATTGATTAATCGAAGGATTTGTGTGTGTGTGTGCGTAATGCGTAGAAATAAATAAGAATGGTAGAAATCATGAATTCTTATTACGAAATGATACAGTTTGAACCCAAATTCCAAGAGCTACCTCACATATATCCAACTTTTGCCCTTAATTTTCAATGAAAAGGAATCTTCATCATTTAGTTCCAAAATCGACCTTAAAAATGAAATACATATATAAATCCCAAATACTAAATTTACTTATAAATTTGGACCTTTTTGTATTTCTTTTAAATCTCTTACACAAACTCCGAGCTCCTCCAGCTTTGCCTTCTTTTATAATCTTCTCCTTATTTTTACTGCTTCATAATTTTTAATCGCTTGCATATAGATTATAATTCTTCCGGAAAAGTAAAAGGCCCATCATTCTGCAGAAACAAAGAAGCATTATGAGAATAATGAGGGGGGAAACAATTACTTCGAGAATTAGTTGATGATAATCACAATTTACTAAACCATCATAATCTCACCAGAGTTCCAGGCGGCCTCTAATATTCCAAATGATGATTTCTCTATTCAACTGGATGTCGAGTGATTATCTAAGACTAAAACCAGAACAAATGGACAAATTAAATGATGCATAATATAAGCCAAAACACGAAGCCCTTAAAATAAGTATTTTCACAAACGGAATACTAGTAATTAAAAAGAAAAGTGTAACATTGATCAAGTGGAGTTAAGAAACTTAACTGGCTGAAGTTCTATGAAAGAAGAAGCAAGCGGCGATCACACAATAGGATAAACAAAGAACCACTCCTTTTATGTAATGTGAACTCCCATCCTGCAATTAACCATAAACCAAAGGAAAAAGAAAGACGTTACGCGAATGCGATCACTAATAAAATGGCAATGATTGTTGTTAAGATTGATCGTCCATCATTTCATTAATAAAATACGATTAATTAGTACACGATATATTAGAAAGGAGACCTCACCTATACATGGTGGACTGTATAGAAACAGAAATTTTGTTGTTAAAATTGGGTTGATTAGCAGCAAAACGTATGTATACAACCGAATACTATTCGTATATACTTGGTAGGTTGGGTAAAAACGCTTTTGGCATATTCCAGTTGTGGTAATAAATTACAAATGTAACAAAAACTTGGCAATGTCACGGAACTTTTGCACAAAATGACAAAAAGATGAAAATCATAAGTACACGAACCGGCCAATAACTGGTGACATCTAATAAAATACAATGGAGACGAATTTCTTTCTTTTTTTCTTACCTGCAAAGTGAAAGCAGTGAGGACGATGGACAAAGCCAAACAAGAAGTTTCAAGGAGGCTGAAATCCAGATCCATTGGGATTCCCATTATCCATGCTACTATTACACATATGGGTACCTGTATGAATCGAATCATTACATTTTAGCTAGCTTCAAGGTTCTCAAGAGAATTTATATTAGATGGAGGAAGAATGTGGGTAAAATTCTAGGAAAATAAGTAAATGAACCCTCCTCCGGACTGTCTATTAATATGAGACAGAAGGGAGGATTTAATTGTACCTACCACGAACATGGAAATTTGAGTGGCAGAACCCAAGGCAACACCCAAAGATATGTCCTGAATCAAATTACAAACCACAATGATTGGATTATGTGTTTTCACTATAAAAATTTGATTTGGAATTATAAGATGATTACCAGCTTGTTTTTTAAAGCAAAAATGATAGATCCCGCGTGTTCGGCTGCATTTCCAACAATTGGGAGCAATATTAGGCTGATGAAGCTCACAGAGATTTTCCAAGATTCTGACGCGGCCTGTACATATGAGATTGACAACCAATTAGTTACTTGATCCGATGAGATTTTCAGTACTGATTAACCAGAAATTATTAGTATCCAAACAATGCAATTATTTTACACATCCACAATGAAATTAGTTTGCCGATTTTGGTGATAAATTGTATAACCTACCTCAATTGTACCCACCACGTACTCAGATAGAACAGCTATGGTGATAGTCATTCCGATTAACCAAATGAAGGCAGACCAAAATCCAACCACTGCTTCGTCTTCATCGCATATTTCCTCGTCAACCTGAACATGCATTTGACTATCATTAGCTTTAATGTACTAGCAAATTTTAATGTACCGTAAGCTTAAACACGTGGATAATACAAAGATTTTAGAGAAAACCCAACCATTTTTTCAACAAAGATTAGTAAAAATGTATGTATTGGTTTTATAGACATAAGAGGTAAGGTTTTCTAATATGTGTGTCAAATAATTGAAATCCATCAAAATGCCCTCATTTGAGATAACAATGTGACTGATCACCATGACCTTAAATAGTTTATTAATTCTAATACTAGTAGTGTATTGATTTGCTTAATTACCTCTTCGGCTTCAAATTTGTGGGTCCTGAGTTGAAAGAAGAGGTAAGCAAAATAGGCCACGAGCATGAAAATGCTACTGGTTCTTGACAAGGAGAGAAGGAAATCATCCTTATTCACCGGTTGTATCGAATCTCCACACATCAACGGCAGCACATGGCATAACAATCCCAACAGCAAAAGAAGCGAATTCACGTCCGCTTGTTTCTGAAAAAACACAATAGCCAGGTTTATAAGCTCAATCAATTAGTGTTGCATTATCTCGTCGCATAATAACAGTCATGTTTGCCTCTTATGACCCTACCCTGTCGAATGTTTGTTCGAGCTTAAGGTTGGCAATGCCACCAAAGAGAAGGGAGGAACCAAGAACGAGGAGTTGGTTGGAGAGGACAGAGCCCAGAAGAGAGTATTTCACCACATGAATCTTCCTTTGGCGAAGTGCAAATAATGCTATAATCAGTTCCGTTGCGTTTCCACAAGTTGCATTCAGCAGACCTCCCACTGCATGCATGAATATTGAATCAATTGACTCACATGTTGCATTATAAAATCACAAGACTAATTATCATTTTAATTTTATTTCTATAAATCTTTTAAATGTCTTAGAGAAAATCAAAATGTGGGAAGATTCATCATACGAACCTGTAGGACCAGTGAAGTACGCTATTTGTCTTTGGAATTAACGTTGTTGGCACGACCCAAAACAGACAAAAAAAGGAAGCTTGATCAGTTAATTCGGAGCAATTGCCAGAGTAGTATTAGTAGTAGTAAATAGGAGTAGTAACTCTTTTATTTTGGGAGATGGAATTAATTACACTTACTCAGTTAAAAAGCTGACACGTTCTGCTAACGGGGTAAGCCCCAGCAAACTGAAAGCAAATATCCATGGCTGTAACACCAAAATTATTACACCCACTATTAATTGCAAGATCAGTTCACACTAAAAAAAATTCATTCAATAAATAAAAAATTGCAAAAAACAAATCAATTTTCAATCAATTAATTTTATGAGATAACAAAGAAAGCTTGGGACCTGGATAATCACAGATGATCTTGATTTGGTACACAAAACAAAACCCAAAAAAAAAAAAAACGTAAAATGACCAAAACGAAAGGAACTTACCCGGCCAAAACCAGAGCATTGTGCAATAATAGCCAGAGGGATGGCCGGAATCAGAACACAGAGCTTAGTTCCCAGAATCACAACCCGAACGTTACCCAAAAACTGCCTCATCAGTCCCATACGATGAGCCCTTCCTTTATTGTTGCCGGACCTTTTATTATTCAACAATGCTGTTGTTATTGCGCCACTCGCCGGCACCTCCACGATGTGATCATGATCGCCGCCGCCGCCGCCGCCGTTCTCCAAGTTCCATTGATCTTCATGCATCGAACCCATCATCTTTAATTAATCAATCAATTTCCGGCAGGCGGGGTTCAATTCTCTATTGAAGCTTTATCTTAACAAATCTTTAACAACCCACAAAAGAAAACCCACATGGATAATTTCGAGTTCCGGTGATGAAGAGTAAAAATAAAGAAAAAACAGAGGAGGGCTAATAAAAATAATGAATTTGCCGCTATATAATCCTCACTATTCGGTTATATATCAATATTTATTACAAAATTGGGGGTACGAGAAAAAGGACAAAGATAAAAAAGGGGTGAGATAAAGGAAGGTTCCTGGAATTTGCCTGCAGTTTTTGTTCTCTTTACCCTGCATGAACTACACGTATTGCTCCGGCAAAAATCCAGGTGCCGGAGCTCTAAACTGAAATATCAAATATATACTGCAAAATACGATCTCTTTCTTCTTCTTTTTTTCTTTTTTCTGAAAATTAAATTCGACCCCAGAAGATATTTAAGACAGATTGCCTCAATATACCCAAAAAATTAGCCTGATTTTGCTTTGGGGGAAATCTATGAAAATTTTGAGGTTATATAAATAGTGATGAAGAAAATGTTGGCTAGTAGTATTTGAGTATGACTATGATGATGAAAAAATGGACCAAATTTGGGGAATCAATTAAAGTTGACAGTTTAACAACATATATATATATATATATATATATATATATATATTACTATTGTAGTAGTGATTTCGGAATCTTTGAGTTCAACTAAGTTAGTAGTATTGGTTCATGACACCATTTTTTTTCCCTCCTTTATGAAGTTGACGCTTTTACTAATTACTTCATTATTATTTTTAATTTTATTACTTCATTATTATTTTTAATTTTATTACTTCATTATTATTTTTAATACATACTATAACGGATATACTCCATCTATATTGTAGTTTATCGATCTTCCTTTCAGATTACATAAATTTCAAGTCCCTAATTGGTATATTTGACGATCCATGAAAAGAAAAAACTCGCTGCTACGTTGCATTTCTACTCCTTTTAGTTCAAGTACCGGAGTAAAATAAATTTTGAAGAATTCACATGATTTTTTTTTCTGAAATAGTAAGAATGCAATTTAGCATATCAGAAAAAGAGTATTTTCGTTTGTAAATAATTTAAAAATAATGGTAAATTGGGGAGGGGGAGTGTGAGATTTGTAATGTGTTGTTCAGTTTTAATGTTTCATTCATTTATTCCGTATTCGAATTTTGACGTTGAAAAGATCAATTCGGGTATTTTTTACAATTGAAGATATAATAAATGTTGTTTTAATATCTGATTTTTTTATCCTAATTGTTAGAAATAATAATAGTACTCCTCCTTTTGGACATGAAAGTTTTTCTGTCTTTTTCTTCCCTCTATCACAAATCTAGTTCACTACCGGTAACAATAACTAAACACACAACTTTGTTAGTATAAGATATGGATAAGTGGAAAAATGAATTCATTACGAAATTAATACAAATTGCCTTTAGCAAACGACACATATAAGAAAAGAAAGTGGCTTTGGAGTACTCAGCTCTTTTTGTTTAATAATGGGAAAAGGGGAAAATGTGCTGCCATATTTTAATTACTTGGAGAATGGCATTATTAGGGTGACAATTAATAACACAAAACCAATAATAATTTCAACATGACTCCAAACACAGGACATTTATAAAAGAGCAAAGATATACTTACTGTATATAAAGTTCTTAAGAATGGTACTAATTCACTTTATTATTATTATTATAAAGTTTTATCCTATAAAAATAGATTATTAAATTAAGAACAAAAGAGTAATCGGCTGAAATAGTTTAGTAGATTTAAACGATTACCTCTATAATCTGTAGCAAAAAAAAGTCATCGAGTTCGAGTCCAGATTATATCTACACATCTCTCAAAAATTAATGTCATTTCACCAAATGTGATCTCACTAAACCATATATATGACAAATGTAGAATGGATTCCAATGAAAGATAAGATAGTAGTAGTACGTGGTAATATATTTTCCTATGTGCTATCGAATCCTAAAAAGTTCCCTTTTTATTTCATCGACAAGTTTCAATTTTAGGGAGTAATAAATATATAATTCATCCTTGATTCTTTTTTTTTTAATTATTTTTTTGGGGATACTCTAATAAACTGGTTGGTTTTTTTTTTTTTTTTTCCAGAAGATGAGAGAATTGATGTTTCTCCTGCCAACATCAACAAAACGAGTCAAAATATATTCTCCTAACGAGGTAGTATGAACTATGGCTTCTAACTTGTCTTCTTCTCCAAATGTGTCAAAATTGGGATGATCTTTGATAAGGACAAGATATGCACAACATGCAATGAAGTCATGTAAAACTGCTTGCTTCCGAGTTCCGAAAATATTTTTTGGTCACATCAATGGAGATTGGAGATTTTTGAGTGCTTTGTGGACAATCGACCTCACATTGTCTTTGCTGATGAACCTTCATTTTGGAGGGTTTGAAGAAATGTCTAAGAGCTGTTTTCACTACTTCCTCCATCAGCTAAGTACATAAGTTATCACACTTTGATTATCCGCCAGCCTCTGTTTTAATCACCTGTCTTAGTAATTGTGAGTTTTTAAAGTACTCCTTTCGTTGAGTTTTCATTTTTAGTGTTGAACTCAAAAGGCGAAAATCCAAGCTGCACAATAACGGGAGAGAGGAAGTATAAACTTTAACGTGTGATAAAAATCAGCATTTAATTCAAGTCTTGATTGTTGAATTCATTGTTGTGTAATTAAGGCTAAAGAATGGTTTTAATTTTAATTTGCAACAAGGAGAAACAAAGACGGAAGCACGTAAGAAGTACGGTAGGCGGCCCATTTTCAGCTACAAGTAGTACAAACTAGCGTCAACAACCAAAAAAATTGCTAAAGAATGAAGCAACATGTAGGTGTTAAAACCCATTAATGCCCGCAAGCCATGAATCACACAATCCTTCCCTCCCTACCAAGTGGTAAGATGTAACTATTGTGATTGAATAATGACACAATCACACAATGCCAGACATGTTTCTCTTTTTCCTCAAGGGCTCGCACTAAGCCGATGGGCGATTTCCCAAATGTTTGGGACGTTGCTACATCACATAATCTCATTCAAACACATAGTCTCATTCAAACGAGATTGTGGATCGTGATATAGGGACTTCGTTTCATCCTAAATAGGTTGGTCACCAAAGTTGAAATTAAAACCGTTACATAACATTTTGCTTTAGCTCTATGGCAGATCAAACTATCTTTATTTGTGGCCTAGTTTTACATGGTCATCTCTAACTTCCATTCACGGGATACATAAAGGGAAGTCATTTCATGATCTTCTACTTTTGAAGGCTTCTTTCCTATTTAAGGGATTGCAGGCACTAACTAAAAGGAAGAGGAGAAGAGGAAAGGCACCCTATTTGCGGGGAGACCAGTTATGATATTTGTATCAACGAATCCTTTTTTTAGGAGAATTATAACCAGATCTATTTCCTGCAGTGAGGACAGAAAGTTCAGAGAAGGGAATTATCACCCTTCTGCGAGAGTGTCAAGTATCGGCAGATTTAATTGGTGCTTCATAAACACTGTTCACTAACACATTTTGATGACCGTTGGAGTGATGATGGCCATGCTGCTCCCCTACTGCTCTAGGAGAACCGGACAAGCTCCAAAAACTATTGTCCACAGGGTTGGCAGAAACTACTTTTGCTGCACTGAGTGCGTTATGGAACTGTTCATGATCCGATGACTTTGCAAACTTGAGCATATTGTCTTGCCTCTTGGGGAACCCGGGAAAATCTAAGCTCCTCCTATCTAACTCATTCTTCACACTCTGCAAGGTCAAAGAAAAACTTCATAAACAACTCATGCTGATGAATATGTCTGACCACAAAGCATCCACAATGCAGAAAGGAAAAACATGTTACTTCATCAATTTCTTGACCAATATTGGGGATGAATCCAATTGTTTAACTCTTGTTTAGAACCCAAACATAAGCTACATGAGCGAGCTTCAAAACAAAAGATTGTAAATGGGAGGAAAAGAACTCTCTCTTGGCAATACTATACAGAGTTCAGTACATGACAAGAACCAGAAGCAACCACAAAATGAGCAGGATAACTAGTAAGTGGCAAGAACCACCATTTATCTTGACAAAGAGAGAGATATGAGAATAACTCATCTAGTTGCACTATCAACCAAAGGAATATCAAGAGGTTGATTACTCATCATCTAAAAAGAAAATACTCTTGTTCTCCACGAAAAGCCAAAGAAACAAATTTTATCCTCTAGCAACAGAAAAAGAACCATTTCATTTGGAAAAGAGAATCAATCTTCCTATCGACTACGGCCATCGCAAAGATGGTAAGTCATAAGTGTCACTGGCAATTATGAACTTAAATTAAACTTCAATTCGTAACCAACGGTACAGTGATGACATTGACCATACAAGCTAAGAGCCTCTAAACTCTAATACTCAAAATGATCTTAATCTAATGAGTCTTGTCTAGCCAAATGATAGTGATAAAGCTCAAACGGACCATCACATTCTAAGATACCAAAACAGCCAGCCAAGCTTTTGATGGAAATTGCTAAAAATATTTCCATTTCATTAGTTGTTAAGTAAACAAAGAGGCAGGCATTTCCAGTTATGCACTAAGTGGAGATTAATCTTCGGCGCCAGCTAACTAATATGACCAAAAACGCATAAAATCTGAGATTATAAACCCAAGACTGAAACAGTAACGCCCAAATATATAGCCAGCCAAACATAAACAACACATGAGCAACAATTTAACCAAATCACCAAAATCAACCATGCATACCAGCATAAAACTCACCTGCAATATCCTCAAATCGAATTTCGGAAGCCCAAGTTGCCCAACAGTAAGTGATCCGAAAAAGTTCCCTAACAATGCAGCATCAGGGACAGACAAGCCATGAACAAGCCCTGCTACAAAACCTCCTAAAAAGCTATCACCAGCCCCTGTGGGGTCAACTTGAACTGTTGGAAAAGGCGCAATCTGCAGCTCACCATCCTTCCAATATACGGTGCACCCGTCTTTCCCATTTGTAACCACCACACAACACCATTTCCTGGCCTCTTCCACATCCACGTAGGGCGCCTCCTCAGAAGAAGCCTTCAAGACTCCGATTTTCGGCAATAACCGGTAAAACTCCGTCTCTTTCAAGTCAACTTGCCTAACTTTTCCATCCGCATCATCAAACACCCGAATCAAAGCTTGAATGTCGACCAAAACTAAATTACACAAGTCTATCATTTTCTCTAACGTTTCGGGCAAAATCTCTCCCCCGACTCCGACGGCCATCCCGAAATTGAATTTAGCGTTCGAAGAAAGATCCGAATCGAAAATCGGTTCACACGCGGTGACCCGTTTGAGGACCCGATCCTGGAGCTTGATTTCCGATGAGAAATAGGCATGGAAAAGAGTGGTTTTTGAGGAGGGAATCGACATGGGTCGGTGATTAACCGGGTAGGCGAAGTCGGACCCTACTTTAGCCACGTATTGGGATGGAACGGAGAGGCCATCGAGGACGGCGGAGATGAAAGAAACGGCGCCGCCGAGGGATTCAGCTAGGACGGCGTCGTCTTTGATCAGAACGTCGTGACAATAATTGCCGACGACTAGGCAATTGGGTTCCTGATTCTGGGTTACCATGCTCACGCCGGTTAAGGAATGAAATCGGAACGTAATGTTGAAAATTCAGTAGGAATTGAGAAAAAAAAGTCGGTTTTCTTTGTCTGTATTGAATGGTAGAAACCATTAGCAAACCTCTAAACTGGGTTCTTACAGAAAAGGGGCCATCGATTGAAAGGACCCAAAAAAAGAAAAAATCAAAGAACTGGATTTTTTCCACTTTCCCTGGCGGAAATTGTAACTTTCTACGATGTGCGAATGACGTCAAGAAAGGAACGAGTCACAGGAATAAAGATCAGATTTTTTTTCCAATTATGGTGAATATTTTTCACTGGCGATGGGATGGTGCATGCAGAATTGAAGATATAAAGGAATTCCGGTGGGAGATTTTGAAGGTGGAGGAAAGAATATGGTTCCTCTTCAATGACCGTTTATGGTAAAATGTATTGAAGTGCGAACCTTAGAAAGCGATTTCTTGATTGAGATTCTGATTCTGAGTTCTGACTGTAAAGGCATTTATCTCATTTTTCATTTTTTAAAACGATGAAAAATAAATGAGTAAACAATACTAGTAAAAAGACAACATTGGGCCTTTTGGTTACCAATTCCCAGATAGGTCCATCTATCTAACAGGCCTAACATAATAGTAAGTAATAACAGGCCTAACACTGCATTTGTAAGTGGTAATGTCCTTTGCTTGAATATATTTGGTTAATGCCTTCTTCCAAAATTAGTTATAGTCTAGAAGTAAGTAAACTATATTTTCGTCCCATAAACTAAAAGGATGTTTTATTTTCTAAACCCATAGCTTTCTTTGTGTTCAAAAAGAAAAGGAAAACAAAATGAAACTCAGACTAAAGGGGAAGTATGATGAGTGAGTGACTAATGCAAAACACTTTTTTTTCTTATTAAAATAAGGATTTAAAGAGAATCTAAAAGTAAAATTTGAAATCAGATAATTATTTTAGGAGATAAGAAAGAACTAAAAGTAAAAATTCAAACTCAGGGCTTGTTTAACAAAGCCACTTAATGCTTAAAATTATTGGTTTAAGTATTTTTTCATTTCAGCATGTTTGATAACAAAAAATAAATCTCTTAATAAATTAAGTGGTGTTGAAACTGCAGTATAAAATATAAGCAATAAAAGTTAGCTTACTGCTTATTCTATAACTGTCTAGTAAATTTAATATTTTTAATTTAGCATTAAACATTCAGAATTAAGCATTAATTTTTATCAAACAAAGTAGAAATGTGCCTTTTGAGTTATTTTTAAATCACGGACCTCTCGGTCATCATGGATATGTCTACGAGGTACTCAAACATAGGCTTTGTACTTGTTATCTATATTTTGCTCAGTCGGCCCAAGCCGCCCAACTGAGCTAGTCCAATGATTGGATTTTGTCCTTGACCCCTTATAATGATTTACACTGGTTTTTTTTTTTTTTTAAACAAATTTAACAGTACAACATGATGAGATTAACTTTTAAGTCCGATCAAATTACATAATTGTCTGGAAATGAATCTTTTGTACTAGTACATTTAGCATACATTCCATGTAATAATACTGTTCCAAAAGATGGCACATGTGTTGTTCTGGATTAAAAAAATAAAAATCCGGGATAGTTATCTACTTTTTAAATGTTAACTAAAATACTGAATATAATTTAGGATCGTAATAACCAATTACATATGTCGGGTAACTTTATGTTATACATCTTAAACGTTATCATTTTCTTCTCATTAAAAAAAAAACTTTGCCTAATCACACCATACTCAGTATATGACGTTATAATTATGTGATTGTTTTGAAGTATTTTATTTAATTATAAACCGTCCTTAAAAATATCTCTAGAAATGATACAAGTTACAACTAAGGTAAAGAATGGACAAACTTTAAATTTCATTAATATTGAGTTTTTGAAATCTTTATTACATATTCGGCTGCATATTTTTTGGGTGTAATTTTTAGGAGGCTGTATATCTTTTTTATTCTTTACTCATCGTATCATAAACAAAAATTGGGGGGAAATGAAAATAAAAATTGACCATAATTTCGACCAAAAAAATTGACCATAATTCGCGGGAAACCACGCTCCCCATTAAATGGGGCGTGTACTCCTATTCTTTCTCCACCAAAATATCTACAGTACTCCTTAACAATTAATCATTTTCGACCCATGAAAAAAAAAAACCAATAATATGTAATGAGGCTATTTTGGTAAAGAATCCAAAAGGGCCAAAACCCAGCATCACCACAAATCTCGCCTTCCCTGAATTCAGCCGGCCAGCCTTTTTTCAGTTTTTCAACCTTCCTAATAACCTCCTTCTCCTTCCTTCTCCATCCGTTTACTGCTTTTTTACTTGGATTCGGCAATCGGGGTTCTATCTTCTTCAAATCAATTTAGATTTCGTTTAGGGTTTTAATTTTTATCTTTTTTTTTTTTTTTTTGGAAAGTGAAATCATCCAACGGAAAGTTTGCTCTCGGAACCCATCCATCCATTTCTCTGTGTCGGTCAAATCATTCATCCGAGCGTTGACCGATCTGGTTCCTCCCGCCGTTATGCTTTGATTTTGTGCCATTTTTATAAGGATCAAGGCTTTGGGTTTGGGTGTGGATTTTTGTATGTTCAGTGGTTTTGGTTGGAATGAGGAAGAAGAGGAGATCCAGAGGTTCAAAGCAAGGTGGGGCCGGAGCAGCAAGCCCCCCTGGTCAACCGCAGGATATGAATTCCGGCGGTCAGAACCCGATTGATGGAGAGAAGAAGAAGTTGATTGAGAATTTGGTGGCTGCTTTTGGTTCGGTTTCATTCCAAGAAGCTGCTGCGGCTTTGAAGGAAGCCAAAGGGGATGCTAACAAGGCGGCGGATATTCTGGCGGAGACGTATCTGGTGGAGGAGAGTGGAAGCACGAGCTCCAGTGGGTTTTGGACTTCCAGCTCTGGCTCTTCGGTTGGGGCCTCAACTTCATCCGGGTCGTCTTCCTCCTCGGAAGCATCTGCCGATGCCAACGTTAGTGGGAATGGGGCCAGGAATCAGAAATGCAGAGCGAAGAAAGTTGTGGCTGTTGCCGGAACTGTTTCCACTATGCTTGGGAAGGATTATGTTAGGTCGGTCCAAAAGAGGACTTCTTTGAAATCCAAAGGGTTCAATGAGGGAAGTTGGAGTGAAGCAGAGCAATTTTTGTGGTCTATGCTTGGGGAGGAAAGTGAACTGAGCATGGATGTGGTCAGCGATGTGCTATGTGAGCAGTGAATGTTTCTTTGTCTTTTAAGTTTCTAGTTATGGTGTTGATTTTTGTTGGTATAGTTTTGCAATCTCTCAGAATTTCGCTGATTTGTGCTGTTTATGATGTCTGCTTCTGTTGTGGCAGGTGGGTGTGGGTATGATGTCCAGAAGGTGAATACTATTTCTGTGAATCTTCTATATTGAACTTTGAAGACTATAGTTTAATTCTTTTCGTTTTAGATTGATTTCTTTTCATGTTGATGGTTTGCTTGATGGGTATTTTGTTTTCCGTCCGTGGAACTGTCACTGAATTTCTTAGGCGGATCATGATTTACTTTTTGGGTTTGCCTTGCTTCTTTTCATAGTGGTTCTTTTGCTGACAGAACAATTTCCTCTCTGGTAACCTTGTGTGCTTCATTTGTAGATACGTTTGATTAAGCATCATTTCAGTGAGTCAAATATGGATGTTCTGTGACTGTTTCAAGGTTTACAATGAGAATGTCTTCAGCCAACATGTTTTACTTTAAATATCATTTATACTCTCAAGAGTCTGGTCTTTGCTCTGGACGCCAGTAGGCTTTCTTTTTTATGTCTGATTATTGTATACCTTGACTTCTATCTTGTTATCAATAATATTCTTACCTGCTGTTTGTCTTTATGTTTTTATTCTGGAGGGCTGCTTATTGTTATTAACAACCTTCTTTTTGGATGTCAAAAGTTTTGTCTGTTTTTAACCCAATCCCAAAATTGAAGTTTATTCTGCTTACTTTTGCAGGCTTTGAATATTTTGCTGGAACTAACTTCTTCCTTAGCTATGCAATCCCAGTTGGGCAAATCTGATGCTAATATTAATGGAGATAGTTTTGATGATGATTTTTGGGGCAGTGTAAGTTGATCTTCTTTGTTTGATGTTGTCATTTTGGAATGTTTTATTAGCGTCCGTAGCTCTTATGGTGTTGGCTTTTTGGCAACTGTTGTAATATGATTCCTTTTTAAGTGTTTAATTGGTTAAAGAAGCATTATACAACCATAAGAATGCAATAATTTATACATGAGGATTTTGAGTTGAACTTTAAACTGAAATAAACTCACCATTCAACCATAACAGTCACGGGGCTGTTTGGGGGGGGGGGGGAGTATCAAGATTATGACAGATGTGAGGATAAAGATTTTATTGTGACTAGCTTTAGGTTTAATGGTGCAAGTAGCTTTTTGTTGAAATCAGTATTGTTTGGCATATTGGAAATCTAACCGAAAGTGTCCTGTACGTTCAACTTTCAACATCCATTAGATTTAGAAGCATTTAGATTAGCTTTAATTAATTTTGCAATTGTTGAAACATTTTGGATTTGGCATGGTGGTATCATGTGACCTTTCAGGAATACTGTTGTGCGAGATTTAATTGGGTAACATCTCAAAGCTGTTGTATATGTTTGTCTATCTGTTGGTGGAGTAGTAATAAGATATGCAGTCCCAACTAAATGGGCATGAACAGTGATATTCTTTTCCTCCCTCTGGTACTATTTATATAGCACAAATTAAAAGTTAAAACTGAATTTTGTTTAAATTAGTGCCTTATGAAGATGACCAGGGGTAGTAACATTTAGGCATGTCATCTCTTGGCACTAATTGATCTGGAGGTTGACAGTCCTTTCCTATAAACTGACCAGGGAAAACAATTTGTTGTGATCTGCTCTATCTTTTTCCTCCCTTTTTGAGGTGTGAATTATGTTATCCATGTGAATCTTGTCTTTTCTCTAGTGTACTTTTATACTCCCTCTGTCCTAAAAAAATAGTCCACATTGAGCTGTATAATTTGTTTACTGAAACTGGTACAAGTCCCAAAACTCAATGTGGTCTATTTTTCTGGGACAGCGGGTGTACCTTTTTTTCTCTTTTGCTTTTTTCTTGTTTATATTCACTCTGAACTAAAAGATTGTATTCTTGATTTCTTCGAAGTTAGCTGTTCTCATTTCATATTTGGCGCACATCATCACTATATTTCTCATTCATGGCTTTCTTATAATGCTTGGTAGATTATGAAATCTAGTAACAACCTGCTTTATTAGCAATGATATTTTTTTTAAAAAAGAATTGTTCAATGTAGTGTCAATGACACACAAAAAATTTCACTTGTTTATTATTTTCCATTTTGTCGGAATTCTGTGTATTATTATTATTTTTTTTTTGGGGGGGGAGGGGGTTGAATTCTGTGTATTCTACTTTGACTGTAGATTAATTTCTTTTTCTCCTATCACCAGCAGACAGATAGGACATCTGACTCGGCTTCTCATTCATCTGAAACGGAATTACGTGAAAATGAGGGTTATAAGGAACACTTTGGCAGGTAATTTTTTCCTAAAAATGCTTCAACCTTGAAGATCTTGGCCTGCTGTTCGTGTCTTGTCAAGTTTCCTTTTATGTTCTTTGGGGAATGTGGTTTTAAGGTTGAAAGCATGTTTCTTGGAAGGTAGTCTTTGCGCACAACTAGAGCTCCCATTTACATTGAAGCTGCTGGCCAAGTTTTTGGCGTATCTGAAAAGTTAAGAGTAGCTTTCTTGTTTCTTGAACAGTGACAATGAAAAGAGTGACTCTGGTGCTCAAAGGCCTTATTTGTATGTTAACTTCTGGCTGAGACAGCCTGTGTTTCTGACAGCTAGTATCATTGATATGCAACACTTTTCAACTGTTTTGAATGAAAAGGATGAGATATTATGTTAACTACAAATAGGTAGTCGAGGGACGAACTCTTCGAAGAGCTCTAAAACTGTTTATGATTGAGTAGGGAAGTCTCAAAATCTGCATCTTTGATAGTCTCTAGGATGGCGATCTATAATCAACCTGCGATAAACTGGGCAGTCCTGCGTTTGTTTGTCCCAGTCTTGCTCTAATGAGTAAACAAAAATTTTACATGGTTACAAGTACACCAGCAAGGTGAGGGTGGAAGGTTGAGACTGCATTATGATTCTAGCATTTCCACACAGATGTAATGAAGTCTCTTTTTAATGCTATGTGTCTTGCTCTGTTAATTGTCGAGGAACTTACCCCCTTTTTTTTAAATATGTTTAGGAGTCATTTACAAGTTCTTACTGGAAACTATACTTCGCCTGCAAAAAGCCCTGTGTTTGACCCGGAGCTTTCGCAGCAAGTTTTGGCATCTTTGTTTAACATGCCAACCCCCAAGAGTGCTGAGCGGGAACCTAACTCTATGAACTGGAGTAATATTGTAAGAAAAATGACTTCTCTGGGCCAGGGTATTGAAGCTTCTGCAGTTGAAACAGCAATGGAGTATTCCTCTGGTAGGTTACAGATAACAATCTCCAAACACCACACAACCCCCCGCCCCACACACACACACACACACAAACGATGACTTTATGTGTTCACGATTTATGCATTTGAATACATCAGATACCATTATTATCTAAAACTTTGTTGGCTTGATCATTTTACTGTGATTAATTTCTTCCTCTGTTTTTAATTTTTTGTTCTTTATTTCCATGAATTCTTCTTTTGTTCAGGATGTATATATTAGCTAACTCGAGGAGCAAAAGTGTAGTTTTAAAAGATTATGCCACTGTAATTTAAGTAATAACTAGATGCTTGGTCCGGACAGATGCCCGGGCGCCCCCTCTAAATTACTATTTTATTAAAATCTAATTGAATTACTATTTTTTGAGGAATTAATTTGGCGTATATCATTTATGCTTTGGTTTGGGGCTTAAAAAAATATACCTATAAATCTGAGGTTATAAGGGAATAATAAATAATTAGTTTATAAGGCATTATTCTTAATTGCTGGATTTAGGTATTTTTATTTTTTGTTTATATTAAGCCTACAAAACTATACGATTGGACATTTGAATTTGAATTAATATATCCATTCATTTGAAATGTAACTGATCCTTATTTGTAGTAAAATATGTGTTTTTTTTTTTAAAAAAAAAATAAAATTATATAGCTTCTAATTAAAAGAGACTTACACGTGGCAAAAAAAGACTTCTGAAATCTGAAATATGGTGCATTGGAGCCAAAACAGATGCATACGTAGTTGCCACATAAGCTTCATGTCTTCTGCTTTAATAGGGTAAAAGGGATATCTTGGCGTTGTTGAGATTTATATTTTATCCCCTAAAGCTCAAGGAGTCCTCTATGCTTGTGTTTTAGCAGGAACTTTAGATTGGACAATATTTACATAGTACATGGGAGAAATATGTTGGACTTGAGTCACTTGATGCATTTATGACATTGCTGAGAAATGAGCTTTAATTTATTGATTAGGCACTTGATGCAAGAGTACTGGTGTTGTCATTCATCTTTGAATTTGTGGTTATTCTATGTTCTCATCCGTTCTGCTACCTAGTCTCATGTTTTCTCGTGATCATAATTACTTCATGCAAAGTTTCTGCTACTTCCTTACCTTGTTAGCTCTTTGCTTATGCACGCACAGTGAAAAATTGAACTTATTAGAAATCTATGGGTTACATTCTGAACCATTGCATTCAAATCTCTAATTGTAGCGAAAGGAGATGACTATCAGGTGCTCAGACAAAACGCAAAGCAGCACTGGGAGTCTATGAAACTATGTTATACTAAGGTATATCTGCTTTACTTGTTTAACTTGAGAGTGATATCTTCTTGTTGGCTCCTTTTCATCTTCTTTCTTTCCCCCCTTATTCTTTTTCTTCAAGATTTGAGATAAATGACCCTTATTAATTGGAAATTTACGTGTTTTTTCTAGGCCGCATCTGCATTTTCAAATGGAAATAAGGATTACGCAACTTATATGTCTGAGCAGGTATGTATACGCACTTAGATGGGGATGGCGTTATGTACTGAGACCTTGAGACATTGGCAGTTAACTGATCCTTGTATGCATTAAACTTCCTTCCCTACTTAAATAACCGCAAATGATGTGCTTCTTATTAGGCTGACCCAGGCAATTTATTTTCTGTAATCTTGAACGGGGAAAATGATAGTGGGTTAAAGTCATAACCGTGTTTTAAGATTAGGCGATTAGTCACTGTTGTGAAGTCATTTGTATGACCAAGAGATTGTCCAGAAGTAATTGCTAATCTTCATGTATTTTTGCATTTTTTTAACCTTAAACGCTGCTTTTGCTCAAAGTGATGTTGAAGTGGATTGCTTTGTTAGTTTGATCATTTTCGATTGAATTTGGCAAACTTTAGGACTAATAATGTTCTTAAATTAGAACTCAATGGATTAATTATGATATATGTTTCGCTTTCCCTTTATGATCCTTCTTGTACTTTTACAGGGGAGAAAACACAATATGATAGCTCGAGAATCAGAAGAAAAGGCCAGCCGGGATATCTTTGAATCGAGGTTAGCCTGTCAATATCGGACAACTTACCTTCACAAGTTTTTGTTTGTTGCTCCTAGTTATAATTCTTATCGAGATGTATGTTGACATTTCAGAAACAAGGGGATAGAAAATGTGATCACAATTGATTTGCATGGTCAACATGTGAAGCAAGCAATGCGACTTTTGAAACTTCACCTCCTTTTTGGAGCATATGTACGCTGTAAGTCTAATTACTTTTCTTAGCTACCTATCAGTGCAAAAGATTGATTGACCAAATTATCTGAGTTTTTCATACCACTTGCTGTAGCTGTGCGATCATTCAGGGTTATCACTGGATGTGGGAGCCATGGTCTAGGGAAATCTAAGCTGAAACAGTCGGTATGGATCTGAAACCTCTTATACTCAAAACTGTTGGGGAAGAAAAAAAGAAATCTATTTAAACAAAAGTAAAAACCACACACTTAACTTTTCCGTGTTAATATCCTTGTGGTTGTCAAAACTGCTGGAGTTTGCATTGAAACAACCATATTTTAAAATGCCAGTAATTACTGTTATGGTTCATTCCAGATTTGATTTGGTGAAAGAAATTTTTTTGGTTTTATCACGACTTCAGAAAGAAATTTTGTATTTGAGGGATGAAGTTTCCATATCTGGGTCACAAAGTTGACAAGAATTTAAAAAATTTTAGTTCCTTGAGTTCCCTTCGTTTCTAGTGGGATGCTTGGGAACAAAAATTAGTCACAACCTATTTATCAGCTTTGAAAAGGAACGGTTGGCTGACTTGAAAATTATTTGCTGCTCTATTCAAATCGACTTGAGAAACCAGGTTTATTATTAATACTGTTTATTTAGGTGGTTAATCTATTGGAGAGGGAAGGTATAACATGGGCCGAGGAAAATCGGGGATCACTGCTTGTGAGGCTTGATCAGCAGAAAGAGTTCAGCTTTCTAGATTCAGACGATGAGTGTGATGATTAGTCTTGGTGGAGCCAATGGGGCTCCTAGATGTTGTTAGTATCATGCTGTATCTAACTTGTCACTGTTTATGGTAGCTGAAGTTTTATTGTAGATAAATCATATCTGCACGTGCAATTAGTTTGGTAAGTCTAGATTAGACTTGTTTTTGTGGCCATCAGAACTCTAGATGACATAGTTAAGCCTGATTAGCAGCGTAGGTAGCGTATGCTGCTTTGTGCTTAAACTTAAATGTACATTGTTAGCCAAATGAGTCTGACCAATTTGTAGTTCTGTAATGTATGAAAGCTGAAGGATCATTTTCGAGAACGTGGTTGCATTTCCATTTGCCTTACTATGCTGTATTTCTGCTTTGGCGCTGGTGTTATTACGTTGTAAGCACTTCAGGTGGATATATAGTTATTAATTTGGTAGCACTTCAGTCTTCTTTGGGCAAATTACAAAAACCCGCTTGCTGCTGTTTGTGGGGAATGTATGCAGAGGTTGTTGAGAACCATGTCACTGCTGATTTGGTGGTTAAGATTTCACACAAGATTCGACATTATTTCCTTTAAATTAGGCATTAACCACTAGATTTCACACAAAATTTTATCGCCATTGTATCAATGTTTTGAAACACTCCCATGTCCGTTGCTGCAGTTTTCACGTCCAATGACAGCTATGAGTTTAACCACCATCCCATGACTGCTCCCAATTTCAGCCACCATCAGTCTGAGAAATTACGCCCCACCATTGCAATCTGCTCTAAAACAGAAATAAAAGAAATAGAATTCAGATTTTAGACATAAGATTGAAATTAGAAAGGGGAAAGAGAAATTGAAAGGGAAGAAGTGGAAACAGAGGCCAGAGGGAAGATTAGAATAGAAAGAAGATTCCGATAAAGTTTCATCTGATAATTTTCCAGTACAATTGACAACATTACAAGTAGGGGTATTCACGGACCGGATTGGTTCGGATTGATAGTAATCCGTAACCAAACCGTTCGCTACAATTTTAAAATTTTTCAAATCGTAACCGGACCGGTTTGATGTCTTAAACGGACCAATCCAATCCGTTGTTTGGGCGGATTGACGGTATGGGCTTTTAGTTGGATTTTTCCGTTTTGGGCAAAAAGTTAAACATTTTTTTGTTATGAGATTTTTTTTTGTCCGTTTTTAGGAGTTTTTTCTGAGTTTTTCCTAAATTGTTTTGGACCTTTCTAAAATAATATTTGAGTTTGGTTTGGGAGAAAAATGGGGAAAAAAAGAATTTAGTCATGGGGGACTTAAGGGTAAGAGGAAATAACAAAACTAATCAAACAACTTAAATTTCATTATAAGTCATCATCCGCAGTTATATATACAAAACCATTATATCATTATTTAATAATAATATATATACGGTCCGGTCCGATTTGACAAACGGTTTGACAGTGCCAAACCGTAATCCGGATCGGTATGATCGGTTTTCAAATTTTAAATCCATCGAATTAAAAATTCACTTATAATCTGCCCGCTAATCCAAACCGATGACCGATTTGGACGATTCTACCGGATTGAGCCAAACCATGAACACCCCTAATTACAAGGATCATCTTTTAACCTAGCTATGCAAGAATTATAATTTGATCCCTTAAATTTACTTAATTCTGAAATAACCCAATGGCATGACAAAGGTCCCAAGTCCAAATTTACATTGGGCCGATCTATAGAGTATAGACTTTTGGGCTCTCAAGGAATATCTTAAACTGCATATTGTCAGGCCCTGGACTAAATTACGGGACTAAATTGTAAGAATCAGAAGTACAGGGACTTGTTGATATTTTCTGTAACTTGTGGACTAGAAATAGTCTACAAGGGGTAGGAATTGATGATAGGAAATTATAATGCCTAAATTGAATTTTGCAGTTTCTTCTTTCTTCTTCGTTCATCCCCAATTCAGAACCCTAGTTCTGCCCAAATCTTCACTCTAATTCTCCTTTGCTGTAATTCCACTTAGGAGCAGTTTGTCGAGCAGCTGGAGTTAAGGTTTGGGGGTTTCATCCGGTCTACCACAGTAATTAGTTTTTGGGAGGCATCGTCTGAGGATACCCTAGTCACAGAGCCACTTGAGGAATGCATCGGGTGTAAATTGGCTCTGGAAGATGACGAAGATGATTCCTGGCTGCCAAAGGATTCTGGTGAATCAGTGCCTCAGAAAGAATTGGATGAAAGAAATGAAGAAAATGATGGTGATACGCTGGTAGAAACCGAGACTACTTCACCAGAGGAAGAAGAAAAGGATGTCAAATTACCTGCTGACTTCCCTGTTGAAACTTTGGATGAAGGTAATCTCTCCATTTCTCCGAACAGATTGGAGGTAGAGTTCGAAACTGGTAATTGCATGGTTTTTGAAAAGGTTATTAAGGAATCTGTCAGTATGTTGATTTTACAGGACACTGTTGCGATTAATTTTGATGCCAGTCATGATGGAGAAATGTTTTTTGATGTTCTTGTTGGTTTAAATGAAATCAATGGTGCAAATGTTAAATTAATGATTGATTTAAATCATTTCCGGGATAGAGGAGTTTGCCCTACCTCTTTTCATGTTGATCCGGTTGGTTTAGAACGTGCTATTAATAATGACTCCGTCAGTTTGAAAAAGGACTCTGTAGTTGATTGTTACTTTTAAGATTTCAAGAGAATGGAATGGTACTCCTGTGGATGTAACCTGTGTGATTTATAAGGATGGTGCTAAATTGATGGCATGTTTCAGAGGGGAACCATGTTAGTTGAAAATGCTGTTACATGCCCTGTTATGGATAATGTAGGTTTTAATTCAAGTGTTCCTTGTTTGATGGCTGATGGAAATGAATATCCTGTAGGTGTTGCTATAGTAGATGAGCTTGTGCATTTTGACGATGAGTGGTTGGCTGATGATTGGTTGTTACATTGCATGTTTAAATTCTTTGAAAGTAGCTCTGGATTGCCATGTTGTGTTTCCGAGGGAAATCATCCAAGTAATATTGCTATCGAACCCGGTGATATGAAGGAACCTAATTTCAGTCATAATTACAATGCCTCTAGCTCTGAAGCTACTATATTAGTAGAGGTTCATAGATGTTTGAATTGGGTTGAATCTACTACTTTTCATGTTGATCATGGTGGAATATAATGTGCTATTGATGTTTTTGTTTCGCCTAACTATCCTGGTGATACTTGTATGAATTCTGACGTTCATATGCTTCTGTTTCGTTAAGTGGTGATTGTAAAATTCTGGATGTGGCAAAAAATGATGCTGGTTCGAGTCATACTATTGGTATGCATACATGTTGGAATGAGGAAAATGATAATACGATAGTTGCCTTGGATAGCTTTGTTGGCACTGTTTTAATTGAGTCAAACTGTGACTGTTTAGTGATTGGGTTGGATGGTTTTGCTGTTGTCGCTGTTATTTTTCACCCTCTAGGCTTGAGGTCAAGCCTTACTTTAGCAGAGAAGAATGTACGAGTGACACATAAAGCTATCCAAATATTATTTTAATGTAACTAGGATTTTTAAAATCCGACTTTGGTCAAAATTTTATTTTTGAAAAAAATCTAAGTATTTTTCTTAAAAATATTATTTTTTATTAGGTCAAGGTCGGATTTTGAAAATCCGATCTTCTGTTAATCATGATTAATGTAATTAATTTTTTGTATTAAAGGAAAGTCGGATTTAGAGAATCCGACTTAGGTGTAAAATCGGATTTCAGAAATCCGATCCGGTATTTTTCTCTTCTCCAAAATTCGACTTATATTTTTATCTACTCCTATTTTTAGGCCCTTTTTTTTGATCAAAAACTCAATTTCTTGGCCAAGCGCATTTTGAAAACCTTGTCCAACCAAAGCCTGTATTAGACTATTAGTTGAGGTCTAGTTGAGTAAAACAAAATTACAATAATTCTACATAACTGAAATTCAAGTCTAGAGTTCACTGAATAACTAGTACCAAAGCACAAATCTAAATAGATTGGTCTTAAATATACAATAACCAAAAGTAATAAAACCATCCATGGAGACACACAAGTGACAATCTAGAAATCCTTGTTGTCCACAAAAGGAGGCATAAGACCACTAGAATCGCTCCTCGGCTTTTATCAGCTTTTATCATCAGACACCTCTTGCAATTCAACTAAGTGAGCACGCGGACTATCCATACTATGAGCCCGAGTTTTCTTCAACAGGCGCTTTCTACCCACGGAAGTGCGGGCTTTCTTGGTCCTAGGCTTTTCTTTGTAACATATACCTCTGCAGTAGCTACTCTTCCTTTTCATACAACGAGCCTGAGCCTTGTTGGTGCTACTCCGGTCTTGCCACACTTGCCCAACTTCGCTCAAGTATTCCTTTTGCAACTTTACTATATTATCATTTGCGACCACCCGTTGAACCCCCGTCCTTCCAACTTGGAAGACTTACATGCATACAGCAAATAGAACACACTCATCAGCAGGGGACGAGGTGGTATGTAATGCCCTTCATCCTACTCTGATAGGACACTTTGTTGAACAAATTAGTATAACAAAGTGAACTATTAACAATTGAACGCAGAGAGAGAAGAAACCAGAATAAACTATTCAAGTATACATTAACTGTGTAACAATGAAAGTGGCAAGATGGAATCAGAAATTTACCACTGACAATATCATGACGTTTATGCGCGTGATATACAGAAGCACAAAGTGTACGTCTGGCCAACTCCTTAGCTTCATTCACGGACATTTCCGTATATAGTCAGTTATGAAGTGTGTTTTTTTCTTTGTTTAATTGCTTTTGATTTTGTTTCATACTCCTAGTTGACCAATTATTATTATTATTATTATTATTATTTTATTTTATTTACAAATGAAGCGCTTTTTTTGTGTTCGGTCTTTCAAGAATATATTTTTTTGGATTTAGTTTTTGGACTTTTTTAAGTTCCTCATCATATAAATAATTCATGTCGTTTCTTTTAACTAATTTATGGGGAAGCTTTTTATGAATTTGAGGTGGAGAGGGAAGGAATGATTTTTCTACGTTTATTTGTGTTTTTATACATCGTTTTTACCTACAGAAAAAAATAAATTTCTCAATTCTTAATGAGCCATCTTTTACTTTCTTTTTTATTTATTTGCCATGGTGAGGTGAGTTCTTTTTTGTTATAACTTGAAACCTATGTAAATTTACATTATTTTCATTCTCATATTTGTGATCAACCAGTTTCAACAATTAACCTGTTTCAAAATCATATTTTTGATATTTTACTACCTATAAACTTTTGAGAGAAATAATTTCAACAATTAAGCCTATACCCTTTGAAGGAAGTTTACTACAAAACTATTATAAATCTCCGAAATTAAGTATTGATTTGGCACAACCAATAGAGAACGTCAATAAATTATCTTACTAATATTTAAACTTATGAGTATGCTTTCATATTTTGTTTTGAATTTACTTCAAGACATATATTTGATCAAGTTTATTTATATTTAAGAAGTAATACTTATAAAACATTTTTAAAATTTTCAAATATTTCTAAAACGTACCGGGCCAAATATAATTTCTTTTTATGCCAAATACAAACATTTCTATGATCATACTTATATAACATTTCTAAATTCTTCAAACATTTTTAAAATATATCGGCTCAAATACAAAATAATTTTTTTTCTAGATACAAATATTTCTAAAATTTACAGATATATTGGGCCAGGGTCGCGTATTGTGCGACCAGACATCACTAGTATAGAGAGATGCTTTCGTCCAAAAGAAAAGAATGAAAATGGAGGTTTAAGACATTCCTTGAGAGCCCAAATATCTACAGATCGGCCCGATGTAAATTTGGACCTGTCTTAAAATAATAGAATTGTGCAGCTATGAATCTGTCAATTTCATAGTAGATCCAACGCTCTGAAAATAATACTTCCTCCGTCTCATAATTATCGTCCACTTTGCTTAAAAAATTTTGTCCCAAAATTATTGTCTAATTTGACTTTTTATGGATCAAGTTACATATGTCTTTAGTAAAAAACATTATCCATCAAATCTTTGTGGTTAAACAATTACTTATGTAGGGGTATATCCGGTTGTTTAAGGTAAAATATAGTTAAGTTTGACCAAAAATAAAATCTTTCATTTTAGTAAAACTGAACAATAATTATGGGACTGAGGGAGTAGTTTTTTTTTTTCTCTTTTTTTAAGTCAAAAGTTAGTGGACCCACAACCTAAAAAAACTTTTAAAAAAATAAATAATTAAAAGGATTAAGGAATTTGACCGTTATTTTTAGGAAAAATTCAATTAATGGATCAATATCTTACTATATTAGAAACAAAAACCACACTTAAGAGAAAGCACCACCATTTTGTCATGTGTCATTTCCACTTCATATTTTCAAAATAAATTTTTATTTCCACATCTGCTAGACTTAAAAAATTACATTTCATGTACATAAAATGTTCACAGTAACTAAATGAATTCTAAATATTCAAAACGATTTCCTTCTACACTTCTGAGAAAGAATCAAAGACGGAAAATAGCTATGGGGCTTTGCGCTTTTTTTTTTCCCAAAGCCAAAATCAAAACAAAAGCCAAAAAACAACACATTCAAAACTTAGTTCTATACATAAACAACACCATTGAAACTTAAAAATACAAATGATTTCACACCAAATGGTAATCTAAACAGAAGTCATCTAGGCAACATAAAAAAAAAAACATCAGAATTTTTGGAATTCAGTCAAATTCAAAGATTAAAGAATAAAAGAAAGAAGCATACAGTGACGAAATAGACGGACGAGTTGAAATGAAGAGATTTATCATAGACCTTGCATTTTTTGTTTAGTCTGAGCAAATTAAGGGACGAAAAAATCCGGGAATTCAATTCGGTTGAGATAATTACCTTCGGTTAAGTTTAATATTCGAATCATTTGGGAATGTCCATGATTAGTAATAATAATTTTTTGTTATTAAATGTCACTCATTGTCAGAATTCAGTTAACATTATTTTATCAAATGTACTTAACTAAGAGTAGTAAGTTCGGAATGCTTTTGTAAACTGAAAAAGATTATGATAAGATCGGAGTTTTGGGATGGGATTACTGATTGATTGAGAGAGTGTACATTTCTATGCCAACATCCTAGCATATGTATCCCTTTTACCCTATTAAAGCAGAAGACATAAAGCTTATGTAGCAACTATGTATGCATCTGTTTTGGCTCCAATGTACCATATTTCAGATTTCACGAGTTTTTTTGCCACGTGTAAGTTTCTTTTGATTAGAAGCTATATAAATTTTTTTTAAAAAAAAAAAACACATGTTTTACTACAAATAAGGATCAGTTAGATTTCAAACGAATGGATATATTAATTCAAATTCAAATGTCCAATCGTATAGTTTTGCAGGCTTAATATAAACAAAAAATAAAAATACCTAAATCCAGCAATTAAGAATAATGCCTTATAAACTAATTATTTATTATTCCCTTATAACCTCAGATTTATAGGTATATTTTTTTAAGCCCCAAACCATAGCATAAATGATATATACGCCAAATTAATTCCTCAAAAAATAGTAATTCAATTAGATTTTAATAAAATAATAATTTAAAATGAGCGTCCGGGCATCTGCTTGGGCCAAACATCTAGTTTTGTATTGAAGCCAATATCAACTACATCTACGTGGTTTCAGGAAACCAAAATGGAAAAAAAAATCAGAGCATTAAGCACAACCAAATCAGCAACAACACACCACTAATTAATTATTGGGGTTATCCGGATTTTCAGCAATATATCGTCTGATGATTTTTCCAAACTTAAAAAATTAATTGGGACCGATCCTCAACTTAATACGCAATCGAAAATTAGGGAAATTATTCCCTCAATACCATCATTATTGTTATAGCGATTATTCGTATACACGCATGAAGAGGAATCTCAATCCAAACGTTGCGGCAGCATCCGTATGAAACACAATAGTCGGTGGACATCAGGCAACTAATCGGAGATGATTACAGCAACACACAACTTAAGGGAACATTCATCAACAAAACATAGCGGGGCATAGAATCCGGTGAGGGAATATGGCCGGATTACATTCAGGATGGAAACTCGGACATCTGCCGGTGAGGGAATATAGCGGGGCATTGATTCCGGCGAGAGAACTTGGTCGCAGTGTACAAAGTATACCGGTAAAAAATAAGGATACAGCTGTTGCCGACGGTCACCGGCGGGAGCTTCATTCGGAATATATGATCAATAACCCCAACCATCACAATCTCCGAATCCATCTGGAATTCCTCTGTAAAGTTAAAAAAAAAAAAACACACACACACGCGCGCGTTTGAGTTAGAAGAAGAATATATGTCAAACTCTTTTTTTGACAAACACTCCTCTTCCACAATTCCTCCTTTTCGGCAATATACTCTTACTAATTTATCCATCCTCATATTCTTAATTGGATAAAAGTTCCACCTCCACCAATCTATCCCTCAAGTTCACATCTTCATAAAATATTCCCTTTTACCTTCTATATAAACCTCAAACCAGAAAAAGTAATAAAACTATCTTCATCATTCATCTTGTTGTGCTGCTATTATTGAAGGTATTTTAAGATAATATAATACCTGCAATATAAGGCTAAATTCATAGCCTTAAGGGAACACCACCTCAAATTAAAGCTTAGATGAAAATGCTCGCCGTACAAATCCACCACCATCACCTCCTATTTTCGCCAAAAAAAAAAACATGACTTCATAAAAAATACAAATTATCATCTCCATCTCCACGACAATCGACTCCCTAATCAATCCCTTCTCTACAATAAAAAAAAAAAAAAAAATTCTCATCAATCATCAATTCAGAATTCGTGGTGAAATATAGTTCTTTCCTATTAGCATGTTCAATCTTTTCATTAGTGATGATTAACTATATCCTAATCAGATAAAATTTCGAATTCAAAAAAATATTTTCTTTATCTCTTTATATAAACACAAAGGAAAAAAAAAATCTCATTGATGTTGCTTTCGGCCGTTGTGGTAGTGCCGTTACAGATATTAAAATTTAAATGATTTTAAATCCACAGATCATTTGTACGGCTTTTATTATTTTTTGTTTTTCCCGTTCAAGAATAGTGTTATTTATATTATTTTTATGCGTCCACCCATTACAGCTACCGTAGTCGTTGCCAGGTAATATGATGTGATTTCTTATATGGTTAGTCAGCTTAGAATTTTTGTATGATTTTAGTTCTGTTTGAATTGAATTGATCAATTAGGTTTTTGTCACAAATTGTGGTTTTTTTAATTTCTTTTTTATGTTTTATTCATTTAGAGTGGTTTTCCTTTTTTTAATTATTGGAGTCTCAGTTTTTTTCGTATATGGTCAGTTATGAATTGTTTTTTTTTCTTTGTTTAATTGCTTTTGATTTTGTTTCATACTCCCAGTTGACCAATTATTATTATTATTATTATTATTATTATTATTATTATTATTATTATTATTATTATCATTATTATTATTATTATTTTTGTTGCAAATGAAGCGCGTTTTTTTTTTGTTCGGACTTTCAAGAATATACTTTTTTGGATTTGGTTTTTGGACTTTTTTAAATTACTCATTATACAAATAGTTCATGTCGCTTTTTCTAACTAATTTATGGGGAAACCTTTTATGAATTTGAGGGGGAGAGGGAAGGAATGATGTTTCTATGTTTATTTGTGTTTTTATACATCATTTTTATCTACAGGAAAAAAATTTCCCAATTTTTAATGGACTCTTTTACTTATTTTTTTTATTTGCCGTGGTGAGGTGAGTTTTTTTTTTACTATAACTTGAAACCTATGCAAATTTACATTAATTTTCATTCTCATATTTGTGATCAACCAGTTTCAACAA